ATCCCCATCATCATCATCATGACCTCGAAGTGAACGTGCGATATGGCCACCACTGCGTTGCTACTGGGCCCGAACGGGGCGGGGGCGGAGGAGGACCATGATGACCATGAGAAGTTACTGTCGGGAACAGTCCTCCCAGTAGCAACACAGGGCTCCTCCTCCTCCCTCTCCCCCTCCTCGTCTTCATCGTCGTCGGCGGGGTCGGCAGCACCGGCCGTGAGATAAGGCGCCAATATACACTCATCATTATCACCGCCACCATTATCATCATCATCGCCAGCCTCATCTTCATCACATCGCCATCATCAGCATCATCCTCATCATCAATACCACCACCATCATCGCTATCATCATGATACTCATCGTCATTACCATCATCATCATTCATACCATGACCATCATCACCATCACCGCCATGACCGTCATCATAACCGTCATCATCTTCACTATTTCAAACCAATCCCAGGCGCCACAGTTGCTTGCATCGGGGCCCTCCTCCTGCAGCGACCGCAACGAGATCAACCTTTCGGCCGTCCTCGCGCTGCTCGACGGCCCTCCTGCCTCGCCTCCTCCTCCCTCCTCCCTCCATCCTCCTTCTCCTCTTCCTCCTCCTCCTCCTCCTCCTCCTCCTCCTCCTCCTCCTCCTCTCCTCCCCCGCATCCCTCCCATGTCTAGTACTCTATATCATTATCTTCCTGCCTCCTCCTCCGTCCTCGGTGTCCTCCCACCCCTCCTCGGGTGACAGCGCCCGCTGTGTTGCTACTGGGTCGGGCCGCGGTCCTCGCAGCTGCGCGCCGCTGGCGTTGCAGCCCCTCCTCCTCCTCCCACCTCCTCCTCCGCCCCCCCCCCGCTTCCCCCTCCTCCTCCCCCTCCTCCTCCACCGCCCCTCCTCTGAGAGGAGGGGGGAGAGTCTCCCCCCCTCCTGCTCATATATCCCCCCTCCCCTTCTCTTCGCACTACCCAGTTTCATCCTCTCCCTGTCTCCTCCTCTGTCCTCGGCAATGCAAACCCAACGCAATGCCCTGCAATGCGACGCCACACAACGCAAAGCAACGCAGCACACGACATCTAGCACCGCATATGCTACGCGCGTTGCTGCTGCCTCGGCACCATTCTTTTTCTCAAATGCGATGCGTTCTGCAGCGTTGCGATAACGCGCCCAGTCCACGCGTTGAATATACATGCGCGGCAACCCAAACCGCGCCACTAAGGCAGCATGGCGTTGGGGCGTTCGCTGGCCATGGCCCCCGCCTGCTGGCCGATTGGCGCTGCAGACGGTCACGCGCCGCAGCGCGGGCACGTCTTGATGCTCGGCAATTGCTTCGGATTGCACACTACGCAGAACCGCTTGATATGCCGGCAGGATCCCTGTCCGTACCGCAGCGTGGCGTAGCCGCACCGCCCGCACTTGAGCAGGCGGCCGCTGCCCGCAGGAATCCTGGACACCAGCTGATCAGGTGTCTGGGATGTCCTCGCTGGGCCGCTGGGATGCACGATGCCATGCTCCTTGTCTGGGCGGCCGCGCTCCTTGCAGTACGCGCAGACCCGACCGTCTGCAGCGCCCGCAAGTTCGAGGCACTTGTGCGCGAGTCAGTCCTCGCCGCAGCTACGGCACCGCCTCATGTAGCAGGTCTCGTAATAGTTCGACCACGCCACTGCGACCTTCGCGGCGTGTCCGCCGCGCGCAGCACGGGGCGCCATCGGTGCCCCGTCAGGCTCGTCGTCGGCGGGGCCCTCGTCCACGGCCTGGTATTGCTTGCCCGTGCCGAGACACAGTCTCATTGGAATTTCTTCCCACTTACCAGAATGCGACAGTTTTTCACACGTCTCCCGAACATTGTCCGTGCCGACGCTGGCATGCAGCTGATCGAGGAGCTTGCCCTTATCTGGGAGCGGGAGCATGCTGAACGTCACCGACGCGTTTCGCCGCAGCGACTCTGGCTTGAGCGCCCACAAGTGCACGCGGGCGTTCCAATACAAATTATAAGGGTCATCGCCCTTAGATGTCTGATGGGTCTGCAACTTGGGAGTTCGGTTCTCGTTGAAGCCTGTCACTATCTTCTCTTCTAGCTCTTTGTACTGAGGGAACGTTGACGGAGGGCGCTGGTAGCAATACACCAGCGTGTCCCTCATGCCCGAGAACGAGTCGTAACAGGAACGCACGCTGGACTCGTCGTACTTCAACATCTCGTACCGTCCCCCGGCCATGCCAAGAGTCAGGATGGTTGCGCCGGAATCCCATGGCTTCTTCTTCTTGCCCAAGGCGCGCAGAACGTGAACAAGCTGCAAGTTTATGAGGTGCCCGTGCACTTTGAACGGGCCTCCGATGGACCGAATCTCTTGCTTAATATCCAGTCCTGGGAGCGCCGGCGCCATGGGCCGATTTGCTTTCCAGAATTTCACCATGTCGTCTCCTGCCTTGCTGTTTTCCCAGAAACGTACGAACAGATCTCTTGGAGTCGGCAACTTCAAAGCCACAACGTATGTAATCAAGCCCTCGTTGCCTCGGAATGCTCGGCGCCAATGTTCATAATTGTTCTGGGCGTGTTGCAAATCAGTCGGTAGTGTCCTGGTTGTTTTCTTGAGCGCGCCCCGCCAGTACGAAACCGGTTTGATGGTGCGCCTCTTCGGCTTCGTGCCAGAAGTCTTCCCCATGCCGTCGCTGTGGAGTATGATCCTCGGCCTAGTCAAGGCCACGAACAGCAGGGCGATAAACCTCAGTAAGAATGGCTTGAGCCCGAGGCTACGGAAGGGGATGGCGGTGAGAACGGCGACAGGCTGCGCATGGCCAAGTTCATAATTCCGCTCAGCTCCCCCCGTCTGCCGAGGGTAGCGTAGCGCACAGTCAAAACGTATCATAAGGACGCGCGGTAAGGACGCAAGACCCTTGGAGGCCGAAGTTGGGGCATTTGGGGCGCGTGTCCTTACCATGCGGTAAGGGCGCGCGGTGAAGACGCAAGGGGTCCAAGGGTGCCCTAGGAAAAGGCGCGCGCCCTTACCATGCGCGTTGACTGTATCCGATGTTTGGCCCCCCCCCTGTGTTGCTACTGGGTCGGTAGGCTGTTCCTGAGTGCAACTTCTCATTGTCATCATGGTTTTCCTCATCCCTCCTCCGCCTCTTCTGGGCCCCGTAGCAACGCAGTGGTGGCCATATCGCACTTTTACTTCGAGGTCTCACGCCTCGCTGTGTTGCAATTGCGTTCGCTCGTGTCGCTGCGCCCCCCCTGTGTTGCTACTGGGTCGGAAGGCTGTTCCCGACGGCAACTTTTCACGGTTATCATGGCCCTCCTCCTCCCCCGCCTCTCTCGGACCCAGTAGCAACGCAGCGGTGGCCATATCGCATTTGCACGTCGAGGTCTCACGCCTCGCTGTGTTGCAATTGCGTTCGCTCCTGTCGCTGCGCCCCCCTGTGTTGCTACTGGGTCGGAGGACTGTTCCCGACAGCAACTTCTCCTGGTCCTCCTCCTCCTCCTCCCCCCCCGCCTTTTTTCGGACCCAGTAGCAACGCAGTGGACGCGCCCAAGAGCGTCGGACGCCGCGACGGCCGATATTCAAGACAAAGGGCAGCCAACGGATTCGAGGCGGCCTGGCGGAGTCTGGTGCTCCGTATTCGGAGGCAGGCGTCGCTCCTTGCGAAGCAATAGTTAGGGTCCACAGGCAACGGCGATGCCGACACTCTTGCCTGCCGCGTCGCTCCGATCGGCGGCCTTCCAAGGAAACGCCCTGCCTCTCATCGTCGTCGACGTTGTCCTCGTCGTCGTTGCCGTCGCCATCGCCGTCGCCGTCCTCGCGGTCGCCGTCGCCGTCGCCGTCGTTGCCGTCGCCGTCGCTGGCTCAGGACAGGCCCCCCGCCCCGAGTACCACAGTTGCTTGCGTGGGGCCTCCGCCGTCGTCGTCGGCGCCGCCGTCGTCGTCGCCGTCGCCGCGACGCCCTCGGAGGTGCTGGGCTGCCTGACAGAGCCTCCCTATACCCTCCTAACACTCCCTGTGGGCCCCGAACCCTCGGTGCTCCGAATCTTCGTGGCCCCCTGCGAATCACAAAGATTCCGCAAATCTTTGTGATCCCCTGCGAATCACAAAGATTCCGCAAATCTTTGTGATCCCCTGCGAATCACAAAGATTCAAAGATCCCGAGCGCAGCCTTTCAACGCAATCTTTGTGATCAAGCCCTCGGCTGTCACAAAGATTGCCACGAAATGCAGCGCTGAGAATCCTTGAATCTTTGTGATTCCCTGCGAATCACAAAGATTCTGCAAATATTTGTGATCCCCTGCGAATCACAAAGATTCCGCAAATCTTTGCGATTCCCGGCGAATCACAAAGATTCAAAGATTCCGAGCGCAGCCTTTCCACGCAATCTTTGTGATCACGCCCTCGGCTGTCGCAAAGATTGCCACGAGATGCAGCGCTGGAGATCTTTAAATCTTTGTGATTCCCTGCGAATCACAAAGATTCTGCAAATCTTTGTGATCCCCTGCGAACCACAAAGATTCCGCAAATCTTTGCGATTCCCTGCGCATCACGAAGATTCGAAGACCCCGAGCGCATCTAGGAAGAACCGCGCTGGTGATCTTCGAAGCTTTGTGAGCCTCGAGGGGCCGCAAAGACTTCAAGTGTTTTTGTGAACTTGATCTGCCTCAGCGCGTTGGCATCAAGGAACACGTGGGTCCCCAGTGTCCTTGTTGCCAACAAAGGGAACAAGGACACTGGGGACCCACGGGGATTTGAACCGAGGCGCCTGGGGCCTTTCGGACGCCATCGCATCTTCATTATTCCTTGATCGTCATCCCGAAATGTGACGCGACGACTACGATGACGATAGAATATATGGCTGCGCGTGCTGCTATGCCACGAACGGTCCAAATTCAATGCCCAGCGATGCTGCGCGGGGCGCGCGCGCCACCCCCGCTACCGCCCCGTGTAGCGGCGAGCCCGCCCGCGCAGCACAACTAGCTCCGAAGCTCTAGGCGGCGCTCGGTCTAAAGTTGGCCTGCGCACAGCTACGACGCCCCCACCAGGCTGGCCACGCTCTCCCACAGCGCGGCGCCCGTGCATGTCAAGTTCTGCCTCCACTGCCACGACGTGATGTATGTGCGCAGCTCAGGGTTCACGGCGCGACCCGTGGCGGCCTTCAGGGTCCGCGGGATGTACGACTTCATGTACTTCCACCGTGAGTCCATTGCCTGCGTGCCAGCCAGGCGGGACTGCCCCCTCTTCTTCTTGGCAATGAACTTCGTGTACTGCCGCTTCTGGTGCACCACCGCCGACAGCGCGATGTTGCGGCCTGCCTTGTTCTGCTGCTCGACGACCTTGGGCCAGGCCAGTGCGCCGTCGGAGAAGAGGAACACCTTCTTCTTCCTCACCAGTCTGCTCATGATGCCCGACTTGAGAACCTCGCCCTGCGCCTCGGGCGGCGGCGCCGTGCCAGGCGGCACCACGCGGACAGGAAGTGGGGCAACGGTCACTTTGCCACCTCGCTCACAAAGCCCCACGTAGCGGACGTGGACCATGTAGCGCTTGGGCTCCACGAACTTGCAGGACCGCTTCTTCGCCCTGCATGCCTTCAGCCTCAGGTATGCGATCGTCCTCTTCTTCGCCTCTGCGATCTCGGTCCGCCACGTCGTGCTCTTGCTGCTCACCCTGATCTTCCTGACCAGCGTGCCGTCGCCCTCGATGTTGCGGATGGGCTCGATCTCCCCGCCGAGCTGCATCGACTCGTTATCCTTGTCCCCTGCGTCCGCCTCCAAGCCGCGCAGATGCCTGTACAGGCGGTACGCGACTTTGTACCCGCAGCATGCCGACTTGGCAGCTTTCCGCGCGCTGGCGCTGCCCTGGCCCGCCGCGTCCGTATAGGATTCGAGGAGCGATCTCAGCTGGACGCAGCTCAACTGCCCGATCAGCTTGTACGGGATCTTCGAGAACTTCATGACGCTGTGGTAGCAGTGGCACCCCCAATCGTTGCAGCGGAAGTAGAGCAAGTCCTTGTTGGTGGCACCGCCCCTGGCCCGACTGCACGGGGCGCCCGAAAGGTATCCCCTCGCGCATGTCGGGCAGCGAAGAGGTGCCCAAGCGAGGAAGCCCGCTTGGACCAGCTCCTCGCGGGCTGCAACCGAGCCTTCGGCCCCGCGCGAACAGGTCTTCTTCTCCAAATTGGCCTGCAACGCGATGGCGCGCTTCTCGCTGTGGCCAGCCGAGTGCAGCTTGGAGCGCTGGCGCCGCAACTTCTTGAACGACTCGGAGGCTCGCCCTCAGCTGGCCCGTCTCCTTGTCGCAGTGTGGTATCTCCAAGCGGCTGATGCTTCGCCTTCCAGGACTCTGCTGGGACAGCAGCGACAGGGGCTCGGGCACGTCGCCGCGTGTGAACCGGACTTGACCACAGCAGCTGCAGCGATGGCGCTTGCTCGGCGCCATGGCCAAGGGCGCCCCCGCCGCCGCGCGGCCGCGGCGCCTGCAGAGATGGCAAGCGCAGCGCGCTCGAGCCGAAGAAATCGCCAGATGCCTCGGGCAGGCGCGGGCGGCCACAACATAAACGTGTGATTTGGTTGTGCCTCGAACGCTCCTGGTGATCTCGCGACTCGCAGTAGCAACGCAGTGGTGGTCATATCGCACTTTTACTTCGAGGTATCACGCCTCGCTGAGTTGCAATTGCGTTTGCTCGCGTCGCTGCGCCCCCCCATGCGTTGCTACTGGGTCGGAGGGGTGTTCCCGACGGCAACTTTTCATGGTCATCATGACCCTCCTCCTCCCCCGCCTCTCTCGGACCCAGTAGCAACACAGCGGTGGCCATATCGCACTTTCAGTTCGAGGTCTCGCGCCTCGCTGCGTTGCTCTTGCGTTCGCTCGCGTCGCTGTGCTGCTGCTGGTCACAGTGACCACTGCGTAGGCGGACTCGGCGGAGCCTATGTGTATTTTGTTTCTCATTCTACCCGGGCGACCCCGATCCTCGCCCCCGAACGTACATCCTGCGAGAAAGCTCTAGGATACCAGGCCCGTGAGCGACCACAAAGCCCTCGCGCTGACGGAGAGCGGTCAGCCCCGACCACCGCTGCGAAGTCATGCGCTAGATGTCCGAGCCCGCCCTCGCTACCAGCCAATGCCACGTGCCGACAATCGCCCTCCCCCCCATGACTTCATTGCTCGCCTGGTCGTCAGCTTGGCATGGGCCAGTAGCGGGGCATCTCTAAGGTAGATTGCGCGCGGGCGCGCGGCGGGGCCCAGGCCGCGGCGCGCTCCGAGCTCTCATGCAATGGCTGCTCAATCCTCCCCCCCCATGCCTACTGGTGGGAAGAGCGGAGGACTGCTCGGCGACAACGCCTGCGGGCTTGCCTCGACGCCAGGCTGCGTGGCCAAGCCCTCGGCCTCGAGCATCGCCCCCAGCTCCACGGCCAGGATGTCGGGCTGGCCCTCGACAAGCGACGGCGGGGAGCCCCTCGGACGCACCCCCCTCGCCCCCACGCCGTCGATGCGGCACCGGCTGCGCTTGGTGCCGGTGCGCGGTACCTGCGGCCCCGTCGGGAACACGTAACTCCCGTCTCCATCTGGGCGCACGTGGAGAGCGATCGCCCCGCCGCTGGCCTCGGCCTCGGGGCTAGGCGGCGCCGCGCTGAACATGGAGGCCCCGTCGCTGGCCTCGGCCTCGGGGCGCGGCGGCGCCGCGCTCAGCCTGGAGGACAACTCCATGACGGAGAGCAGCTTGGCCTGCAAGGACTCGTTGCACTCGGCGATGTAGGCGTCGGCCAGCCTGTCCCCGCGCGCGGTCACGGCACGGTCGATCAAGTCCTGCTCCCTCTGCGACTGCTCGTCGAAGTTGTCGTAGAACACCTCCATGCCCTGCTTGTAGAGGTTGTAGTACTTCTTGTTGTCATTGCCCCAGTACTGCTTGTCGCGCAACCAGTCCTTCTCGATGTTGTCGAAGCTGATGCGGTGGACCACCGCGTCGGGGTCGCTGCTGGGAAAACGAAGGTACATGGAGTGGCGACCAGCGACGCACGCGACGGCGCGCTTGAGCACCGCGAGGACATGCGCCTGCTTCCACCCCGAGAACGGCTTCATAAACAGCTTCTCAGCCTCGGCCGCGGTGATAATGGTTCGGTCATCCGCGGGCGGTTCGTCCTTCTCATCGAACTCATTCTCCGCCAAGCACTGCGCTGAGTTCTTCGCGAACTTGGCGTCGTTGCACCTGGCCCTGGCGAAGGTGTCCTCTGCGGCGTCGAAGAAGGACTTCAGGTCATCGATCGAGAGATGCCACATGCCAGGGTCGTCGAGGAGAGTGCCCTCGCTCGCTGTCCCCTGGCTGGACTTGAAGCCGTCCATCGACTTGCTGCGGCGCCATCCAGGGAGTAGATTACCGCCCGAGCGCGCCGCAGTGTAGCGGCCCATGGCCATGGCGAGCGCGATGAAAGTGGGCGTCTTGCCGATGCCAGGCAAGCCAAAGAAGAGGAGTCCAAACTGCGATAGGAGCGGGAAGACGCACGGAAGCAACACTTCTGGCCACAGCGGGTGCAAGTCGAACACGCACAGGGGGAACGAGCGCTCAACCTTGGCGCACCCCGTTGCTGCCTTCGCTCGGTTGTGCACTGCGTTAGCAACTTTAGCCCGCGGCCACCCCGCAATATTGGACCCGCTGCTCGGCTTGATGTTCTTCTCAATGAAGAGCCACTGCTGGTTCATGTCGTTCACGGCGGGCGCGTGCTTGTTGATGAAGTCAATGCCCTCTTCGGGCTCCTCGTCCGTGGCCTCCCATCTCTTCTTTTCGCCGTCTGTCGGTTTCGCCCGTTGCTTCTCCTCCGCGCTTGCCCAATCGACGCGGCGGCCAGGGATGCGATCAAGCAACCACTGCAGGGTTTTCTTGTGGAGCCATGGGCCTTTTCTCGCTATTGGAGCATGCCCAGTCCCGATCACGAGCTCCTGTGCGGTCTTCAAGGGCACCTGGTTCTGGAACGCGTAGATCTTGACGGCGACGGCGGCGCCGTTGCCGTTGCCACCAACGACAACGGAGTATTTGATGCCTTCGGGGAGCTCAGCGCCTGGGCGAAGACCAGGCGGCACGTCGGTGTACGTCTGCCCCGCGATCTGCTCCATGACCTGGTCCAGATTCTCCGGCATCGGAAACTCTTCCACGACGTCGAAGAGAGACCTGGTCACCCTCACCTCGCCCAGCTTCCGCAGAGCACCGCGGGTAAAAGTACCGACGTCGATGGGCCCGTCAATGTCCCCCGCCGCCTTGCTGGACACGGCGGCCGCGTCCAACTCCGAGTAGGTCATGTCCTTGTCCTTCAAGGCGCCCATGGCCTCGTCGATGAGCAACGGCATCGCGGGTCGAGCGGGCGCGAGCCTCGTCGGGCAACCACCAGCAATCCAACGGCACAGCCAAAGAGCTTGAGCCACACGTCTTTGAACAGAAGCACGCAAGCGATCGCTTATCTTGACTTTCGTGTCATTGATTGGCATAAGTTGCGCCACGTAGCTTGCCGCACATAGGTTGCGACTCATGCACGGCGCCGCTTGCGCCACATACTCTGCACCATGTACGTTGCACCACATGCCCTGCACCGTGTAGATTGCGCCGCCTAGGTTGCACCTGTAGCTTGAAAGACGGGGGGTCGAGTGAGCACCCAAAAGGCCAGTGGGCCATCACATTGCACTTATCATCATCACAGCCACCACCATCACCATCAGCAAACTCACCATCATCATCATCATCATTACCATGTCCATCACTACCACCATAGTCGCCATCCTCAGCATCATCATTACCGTCATCACCGTCATCATCATCGTCGCCATCATCATCATCGTCGTCTTCATCAAAAGCATCCCCAACATCATCATCATTATGACCTCGAATTGAAAGTGCGATATGGCCACCACTGTGTTGCTACTGGGTCCGAAAGAGGCGGGGGCGGAGGAGGATCATGATGACCATGAGAAGTTGCCGTCGGGAACAGTCCTCCGACCCAGTAGCAACACAGGGGGGCGCAGCGACGCGAGCGAACGCAATAGCAACGCAGCCACATTACACTTATCATCATCACCGCCGTCACCATCGTCATCATCGTCATCACAATTCATCATCATCATTACCATGGCCATCATTACCACCATAGTCGTCTTCCTCATCGTCATCGTCATCATCACCATTACCATCATAATCGTCATCATCATTGTCATCATCGTCATCATCATCATTATCATCCACGTCTTCATCAAAATCATCCCCATCTGGCCACTGGCCACAAGTTAGGCCATTAAGTTACACTCATCATTGTCACCGCCATCACCATCATCATCATCAAATTCATCGTCATCATCATCAGTACCATGGCCATCATTACCACCATAGTCGTCATCCTCCTCATCATCATCATCATTACTATCATCACCGCCATCATCATCGTCATCATCATCATCCTCGGCTTCATCAAAAGCATACCCATCATCAGCATGACCTCGAACTGAAAGTGCGATATGGCCACCGCTGTGTTGCTACTGGGTCCGAAAGAGGCGGGGGCGGAGGAGGAATATCACGATGACCAAGAAGTTGCTGTCGGGAACAGTCCTCCGACCCAGTAGCAACACAGGGGGGCGCAGCGACACGAGCGAACGCAATGGCAACGCAGCCACATTACACTTGTCATCATCACCGCCACCACCATCATCATCAAGTTCATCATCATCATTACCATGGCCACTATTACCACCAGAGTCGTCATCCTCATCATCATCACCGTCATCATCATTACCATCACCGTCGTCATCATCATTATCATCATCGTCATCATCATTATCACCCACGTTTTCATCAAATCATGCCCATCCGGCACCGGCGGTAAGTTAGGCCATCAAGCTACAATCATCATCATCACCGCCATCACCATCGTTATCATCAACTTCATCAGCATCATCATTTTCATTACCATGGCCATCATTTCACCATAGTCGCCCTCATCATCATCATCATCATCGTCATCATCATCACCATTACCATCATCATCGTCATCATCATTATCATCACCATCGTCATCATCATCATCATTACCATCATCGTCGTCATCATCATTATCATCATCGTCATCATTCTCATTCTCGTCCTGGTCTTTATTAACATCATCCCCATCATCATCATCATGACCTCGAAGTGAACGTGCGATATGCCACTGTGTTGCTACTGGGTCCGAAAGGGGCGGGGGCGGAGGGGGATCATGATGACCATGAGAAGTTACTGTCGGGAACAGTCCTCCGACCCAGTAGCAACGCAGGGCTCCTCCTCCTCCCCCCCCCCCCCCTCCTCGCCTTCATCGTCGTCGGCGGGGTCGGCAGCGCCGGCCGCGAGATAAGGCGCCAATATACACTCATCATTATCACCGCCACCATTATCATCATCATCGCCAGCCTCATCTTCATCATCATCGCCATCATCAGCATCATCCTTATCATCAATACCACCATCATCATCGCTATCATCATGATACTCATCGTCATTACCATCATCATCATTCATACCATGACCATCATCACCATCACCGCCATGACCGCCATCATAACCGTCATCATCTTCACTATTACAAACCAATCCCAGGTGCCACAGTTGCTTGCATCGGGGCCCTCCTCATGCACCGACCGCAACGAGATCAACCTTTCGGCCGTCCTCGCCGCTGCTCGACGATAGCGTTGCAGTGCCTCCTCCTCCGCCGCCTCCTCCCGCATCCCCCTTCTCCTCTTCCTCCTCCTCCTCCTCCTCCCCATCCTTCCCGCTCCTCCTCCTCCTCCTTCTCCTCCTCCTCCTCCTCCTCCTACTCACTCCTCCTCCTCCTTCTCCTCCTCCTCCTCCTCCGCCTCCTCCTCCTCCTCCTCCTCCTCCTCCTCCTCCCCCTCCTCCTCCTCCTCCTCCTCCTCCTCCCCCTCCTTCCCCCCTCCTCCTCCTCCCCCTCCTCTCCTCCCCCGCATCCCTCCCATGTCTAGTACTCTATGTCATTCTCTTCCTGCCTCCTCCTCCGTCCTCGGTGTCCTCCCACACCTCCTCGGGTGACAGCGCCCGCTGTGTTGCTACTGGGTCGGGCCGCGGTCCTCGCAGCTGCACGCCGCTGGCGTTGCAGTCCCTCCTCCTCCTCCCACCTCCTCCCCCCGCCTCCCCCCGCTTCCTCCTCCTCCTCCTCCTCCACCGCCCCTCCTCTGAGAGGAGGGGGGAGAGTCTCCCCCCCTCCTGCTCAAATATCCCCCTCCCCCTTCTCTTCGCACTACCCAGTTTCATCCTCTCCCTGTCTCCTCCTCTGTCCTCGGCAATGCAAACCCAACGCAATGCCATGCAATGCGACGCCACACAACGCAAAGCAACGCAGCACACGACATCTAGCACCGCATATACTACACGCGTTGCTGCTGCCTCGGCACCGTTCTTTTCCCCAAATGCGATGCGTTCTGCAGCGTTGCGATAACGCGCCCAGTCCATGCGTTGAATATCCATGCGCGGCAACCCAAACCGCGCCACTAAGGCAGCATGGCGTTGGGACGTTCGCTGGCCATGGCCCCCGCCTGCTGGCCGATTGGCGCTGCAGACGGTCACGCGCCGCAGCGCGGGCACGTCTTGATGCTCGGCAATTGCTTCGAACTGCACACTACGCAGAACCGCTCGATATGCCGGCAGGATCCCTGTCCGTACCGCAGCGTGGCGTAGCCGCACCGCCCGCACTTAAGCAGGCGGCCGCTGCCCGCAGGAATCCTGGACACCAGCTGATCAGGTGTCTGGGATGTCCTCGCTGGGCCGCTGGGATGCACGATGCCATGCTCCCTGTCTGGGCGGCCGTGCTCCTTGCCGTACGCGCAGACCCGACCGTCTGCAGCGCCCGCAAGTTCGAGGCTCTTGTACGCGAGTCCGTCCTCGCCGCAGCTACGGCACCGCCTCATGTAGCAGGTCTCGTAATAGTTCGACCACGCCACTGCGACCTTCGCGGCGTGTCCGCCGCGCGCAGCACGGGGCGCCATCGGTGTCCTGTCAGGCTCGTCGTCGGCGGGGCCCTCGTCCACGGCCTGGTATTGCTTGCCCGTGCCGAGACACAGTCTCATTGGAATTTCTTCCCACTTACCAGAATGCGACAGTTTTTCGCGCGCCTCCCGAACATTGCCCGTGCCGACGCTGGCATGCAGCTGATCGAGGAGCTTGCCCTTATCTGGGGGCGGGAGCATGCTGAACGTCACCGACGCGTTTCGCCGCAGCGACTCTGGCTTGAGCGCCCACAAGTGCACGCGGGCGTTCCAATACCCATTATAAGGGTCATCGCCCTTAGATGTCCGATGGGTCTGCAACTTGGGAGTTCGGTTCTCGTTGAAGCCTGTCACTATCTTCTCTTCTAGCTCTTTGTACTGAGGGAACGTTGACGGAGGGTGCTGGTAGCAATGCACCAGCGTGTCCCTCATGCCCGAGAACGAGTCGCAACGGGAACGCACGCTGGACTCGTCGTACTTCAACATCTCGTACCGTGCTCCGGCCATGCCAAGAGTCAGGATGGTTGCGCTGGAATCCCATTGCTTCTTCTTCTTGCCCAAGGCGCGCAGAACGTGAACAAGCTGCAAGTTTATAAGGTGCCCGTGCACTTTGAACGGGCCTCCGATGGACCGAATCTCTTGCTTAATATCCAGTCCTGGGAGCGCCAGCACCATGGGCCGACTTGCTTTCCAGAATATCACCATGTCGTCTCCTGCCTTGCTGTTTTCCCAGAAACGTACGAACAGATCTCTTGGAGTCGGCAACTTCAAAGCCACAACGTATGTAATCAAGCCCTCGTTGCCTCGGAATGCTCGGCGCCAATGTTCATAGTTGTTTTGGGCGTGTTGCAAATCAATCGGTAGTGTCCTTGTTGTTTTCTTGAGCGCGCCCCGCCAGTACGAAACCGGTTTGATGGTGCGCCTCTTCGGCTTCGTGCCACAAGTCTTCCCCATACCGTCGCTGTGGAGTATGATCCTCGGCCTAGTCAAGGCCGCGAACAGCAGGGCGATAAACCTCAGTAAGAATGGTTTGAGCCCGAGGCTACGGAAGGGGACGGCGGTGAGAACGGCGACAGGCTGCGCATGGCCAAGTTCATAATTCCGCTCAGCTCCCCCCGTCTGCCGAGGGCGGCGTAGCGCACAGTCAAAACGTATCATGAGGACGCGCGGTGAGGACGCAAGACCCTTGGAGGCCGAAGTTGGGGCATTTGGGACGCGTGCCCTTGCCATGCGGTAAGGGCGCGCGGTGAAGACGCAAGGGATCCAAGGGTACCCTAGGAAAAGGCGCGCGTCCTTACCATGCGCGTTGACTGTATCCGATGTTTGGCTCCCCCCCTGTGTTGCTACTGGGTC